ATATAGTCATATATATATAGTATCTATATATATATATATAATAATATAGTATATATCAGGAGTTAATAAAGACAAAATTTTGTCTTTAGTAACTCGATATATAATATATATATATACCCCCAATACACGCACGCACGCGTGATTTGCGCGCGTTATCGACACGCTCCGAGTGCGGCCATAAATTAGCATAAATCGTCTGTTCGAGTGAACCCGTGCTAGCAGCAGAGCGTGCAAGTGTAATAGCTGGCGTCTGCTATCAATCCCCCCCCCTCCAGCCGCCGCTGCTGCCGCATCCATGGAGCAGGACGCAGCAGCTGGTGATTTAGAATAAATTTGAATCGGCTTAATAAGCTGGACATTAAGTATTGATTCAAGCGTCGAGGGTGTGTGATTTAGAATCAAATTGAAATGTCAAGCTGACATTAAAGCCATTGATTCAACGTCGAGGGTGTGGCCGTGGTTTCACGTTTAAAGAATTTCTGTCCAGCTTTTCTAGCAAAAATACAAAAATTTATTTTTCACGTACTTATTTTAGTACGACGAGGTGTCAATTATCACATAATCAAGTACCGTTCGCAGTGAAATCGAGATTGCATGGAAGGACGTATTGTCGTGTGATACTGATGACATAATAGTGGGACTGCAGCATAATGACGTGTTTGGATCGTGTGTAGTTTGAACACAGGTGGTCGCAGGAAATCACTATATAGACACGCGCGACGCTCTGCTTGGTGAATTGAGATGGTGTGTGACGCGTGTCCCGTGCGTTGTTGTTTTAGCCGTGTATATGTATATATTGATATATACTATATATATATGTGTTACGTGGTGTGTGATGTGCCGTGCGATGCGTGCGTGCCGTGTGTCGTGCGGTGTGTGTGCGTCGTGCGTGCGTGCGACTGGCGTGCGTGCGTGAGTGATTATGTGTGTGTGTGCGTGCGAGCGTGCGTGCGTGCCGTGCGTGCGTGTGTGCCTGCGTGTGTGTGTGGGGGGGGGGGATCATTTGCAGCAGGATGACAATGGTTTTCGTAGCAAGAACCATTCTGAGCACACGCTGCGATTTTTCCTGGGTTACGCCCTAGTTTTTTCCATATTTGAATTTCGTTTTGTATTTGCTATACGATCCGTGCTTTCCTGGTGGACGTCGCGCGCGGGGGACTCCAGACGATTGTAAATTCATTTTTGTCTAATGGAAGCCAATTCGTAGCACTAGATCATCTAAGCGTGATCATTGCTTTTGACATGTGTCATCTTCAAAGGATCCCACTATGTTTAGCTTCTCTCATTCCATATTCTCTTTCCTCGTCGTTGGTTGATTTTAAAGTTGAAGCTTTTTCTACTGCGATCCGCAGTGTTGATCCTGTATCTATTTGACAGCTTTGTTGCTCTCCGTCTTTGATGTAGTCACTTGGACTTTGAGACTAATCTTTATGATATAATGCCGCGTCTGCGTGCTGGGATATGGAGGGGTGTGTATCGGGTCCATACTCGCATGATCAGCATGTTTACAAAACACTCGGTTATATAATACACTTCATAATTGCTAATCTATATATTATTATCTTTTAAGTACTATTAATATATATGATAATTTTTTATATTATTGTGCTTTACGTTATTGATTTATTATTGACCTTGAGCCCGATTTATTGATCGTCTGCAACGAGCCGCAGAAATTGTTTGTGCGGAAAAGATTTTCTCTTGTTTTCATCTAGTGATCGTGCTTTACTCACTCGTCCACTCGTTATCCGTACGTACACTGTGATAGGTTGCCATTGACATGAGAGAGAGAGAGAGAGAGAGAGAGAGAGAGAGAGGTGGAGAGAGAAGGAGAGCGAGGGGGAGAGCGAGAGAGAGAAAGAGAGCGAGCGAGAGAGAGGGGAGATATATGAGAGAGGAGGGAGGGAGAGAGCGAGAAAGAGAGGAGAGAGAGAGATGGGGAGAGCGAGTGTGTGTGTGTGTGTGAGAGAGAGAGTTAGAGAGAGAGAGAGCGAAAGAGAGAGAGATAGAGATAGAAAGAGAGGGAGGGAGACGCGCGTGTCTCCCCCCCCTCTTCCCCAGCCCCAGTTTCCTTAGTTTCTCCCTCCTTTGTACGCGCTCATGTTTTCCGCCCTGAATGGGGACGGAAATTTGAAAACGCTGCATTAATTGCGGTAATTTGATCAGAGTAATTCCCCCTTGGCGTCGTGCCAGAATAAGCGACGTGCGCGCAGAGAGACTGGACTTCCTCATTCCCGCTTGGTCCTCAGATTTGCAAATTAAAAAAAATATCGTTGTTTTTTTCTCCGACAGAGGGCGTCGCTGATCAGGAATCGGCCGTTCAGCGGGGATTCGTCGGACTCGTCTGATAATGAGGAGTTTGTGTCCGTGCACAGCTCTCCTACGACGACGAAGAGCCTGAAGAAAGGTACTGTACTACTAAAAGTAAACTAAACGTACGTGTTGTATGCTCTCTCACCGGTCCTCACGTTATGCTAGTTGATGTCGCGTCGCGGTAGCGTGTTACGCAGCGTGTCACCTAATATGTCATGCAATGTTTCTGTCACCAAACGTGTCACCCATGTCACCCCAACATGTCACCCAACATGTCACCCAACATGTCACCCAGCATGTCACCCAACATGTCACCCAACATGTCACCCAACATGTCACCCAGCATGCCACCCAACATGTCACCCAACATGTCACCCAACATGTCACCCAACATGTCACCTATGTTAAACTTATCCACTTTCTTACGTCCACCACTTACCTGTACCACTATCATACGTTCTGCGTGCGTGCGTGCGTGCGTTGTTGGGACCCTCCCTTGTCCGTTCCTCTCATATCCCATGCTATCGCGGCATATCCTGTGTGTGTATATGTGTGTGTATGTGTGCGCGCGCGTGTTTGTGTGCGTGTGTGCGTGCGTGCGCGCGCGTGTGTGTCTGTGCGTGCGCGTGTGTGTGCGTGCGTGCGTGCGCGCGTGTGTGTGTGTTTACCTGTGTTTGTACAAAGTTCGGCTGCCTTTCAGATGACTCACAGGACTCGAATCTGTCGGACGATTACTACATACCGCCGGATGCACTGATTGATCCAGACATGCAGGTCGTCAAGCCGAGCAAGATGAAGGAGGAGTTTAAGAACAAGCTGCTGGATAAGGTACGCGTGTGCTCTCCCGCTGCTGCTGCTGCTGCTGCTGTTGTTGTTGCTGCTGTTGCTGCTGCTGCTGTTGTTGTTGCTGCTGCTGCGGCATTTTTGCGCGAAAGTTGAGTGCGAGTGAGTGGGCGTGCGTGAATGAGCGTGGCTGAATGAGTGCGCGCGTGCGTGCGAGTGTGCGTGCGTGCGTGCGTGATTGATTGAGTGCATGCGTGCGTGATTGCGTGTGTGCGTGCGTGTACAGCTGCATAAACGATAGCCTGACGTTTCAAGAACAGTGTAGGCGAAGTAGGGCCCAGGGGGCGGTAAGGTCGGTAGGCTCATGTCTCGATGGAATTTTTATTAAAAGAACAATAATCTAAAAAATTAAAGAATTTTTGTAATTTTTCATCAACGTTACTCATATCATGAGATTTGCCACGATTTTGAAAAGATTCGCTATTTCTCCGCGTCACGAAAGACGCTGATAAGCGAGTTAAATCTCACGAATCGTGATTATATCATTATGTTTAAGATAATTAGGCAGATATTGCTGCGGGGGATTGTGTATCTGTCGCGTGGAAGAGTTAGCCTTCCTGTTACACGCATCAGGTTAACTTTAACTGTCGCACAGAACTTGTAGCATAGATGTTGCGCAGACGGGGTGACGTTGCTGTTTGTGATATAGCGGTGACGTTGCTGTTTGTGATATAGCGGTGACGTTGCTGTTTGTGATATAGCGGTGACGTTGCTGTTTGTGTTGAAGTCCTGACCTTGCTTTTTACGTCGAAATAGTGACGTTGCTGTTTGTGCTATAGATGTTGTACAACAGTAGAAGGCGTCCATAGGCAGCAGGCCTGAATAAGCATCGAACAGAAATTAATTAAAAATACTCACACTGTTTCGCCGCATACATAACATACACTTTATTCATGCTACAGATATACACATAACTACAGATTCATCCTCCGCTTGAAACTTTTACCAGCTCTATGACACGAATTTCTACAAAGTAGTCGGATCACATTTCAAACACAAAAATTACCAACCGGTCACCATGGCTACGCCACTTGACGGAATGTCACAGCTACTGTAACGTGTGTTTTACACATGTTCATTGAATTAGTCGAACCATTCCAACGTTACACTACATGACAAGACCCATTTTACTTCTAATGCTTTTCAGACGTCCACGAGGCATCTAACTTGCGCGCATAGACCTAATGCAAAAGAGTGCACTCTAGTGACGAATTTCACCGAAAAATGTCAAACTAGCCTTTTCTAGAGACCAAATAGTGAAACGGTGAACAATTTGCCGAGGCTTTCTGTTGTATGCTTCCTATAGCCGTGACGTCGCTGTTTGTGTTAAAGCTGAGACGTTGCTGTTTTTACGCTGATGTCGTGACGTTGCTGTTTACGCTAAAGCCGTGACGTTGCTGTTTACTCGTAGTGACGTTGCTGTTTAAGCTGAAAAGGTGACGTTGCTGTTTATGCTGATGTAGTGACGTTGCTGTTTCTGCTAAGCCGTGACGTTGCTTTTTATGCGGAAGGTGTGACGTTGCTGTTTGTGCTGATGTAGTCATGTTGCTGTTTGTGCTGAAGCCTTGATATTGCTGTTTACGCGGAAGGTATTGCGTTGCTGTTTGTGCTGCAGTAGTGACGTTACTGTTTACGCCGAACTAGTGACGTTGCTGTGTATGCTGAACATGTGACATTTCTGTTTGTGCTGCAGTAGTGACGTTGCTGTTTGTGCTAAAGCCGGGACGTTGCTGTTTGTGCTAAAGCCGTCACGTTGCTGTTCCTGTGCAGGTGAAGGGAATGAGTTCGGCGCAGAGTACGTCGAGCATTCAGAGCAAAGGTTCGATGCACAGCAAGGCGTCGATGATCAGCAAGGAGAGCAGCACCAGCACACGCAACTATACACTGGAGAAGGATCCTCGCAAGAACAAGGTACCAGCGCCGTAGCCTGGGGGGGCAAGGGGGCAGCTGCCCCCCTAGGTTTTGGAGCCAAAAAATAAAAAATTGTTCTACTAAAAGAATTGTCGTAGTCAGAATGAAGGCTGTACATGTACTCAAAAGTGCCTCAAATACCATCTTCTGCGATCTACATTTTCAAAAATTTCTGTGGGAGGACTCCTAGACCCCAACCTGTTTCTCACCCTCCTTGAAATCTTGGACCCGTCACTGCCCCCTAGGAATTTGCTGAGCCTACGGCCCTGGGTACGGGGCGTCCTCTGTTTACAGGGCAGTAGGCGAAGAAAATTCCTGTCTCATGATTGATGTCATAAGTTGATGTCATGACTCAACTGTGTAATGATGAGGGACGGGCGCAGTTCTTGATCGACGTCCATAGTATGGTAGGTGTAAGAAAAGGCGTTCACGGATGAGAGACCAAAAAAATCACGTTAGAGTTATTTACGATTATTAAATAAGCTTATTTTTTAAATTTTGCTCCAAAATCTAGGGGCCAGCTGCCCCCTTGCCCCCCAGTGCCTACGGCCCTGGTTTGCCATCCACCGCGGCGCGTTCTCTGTTTACCACACACCGTGCTCTCTGCTCGCTGTGTTGTGGAATTTGTAGCGTAGGCGGTATTGACTGTAAGCAATCTACGAAACCTAAAAAAAGTACAACTAAAAAACTTATCTCCCAGGGAACATTGCGTGTCAGTATTTCATCGTTGTGGATCCTCTGCGACTCTATCCTTCACCCACTACCCTGATTTATACTGGCTAGGTACATGAACTTTATTCGACCTCTTCTTCAAGTCCTTTAGATTTCCGCCTCTGTTGCCTCGTTCTTCTTGTTCTTCCCCCTGCATTTACTCTTGGCACTACTCATTTACATTCGCATCCTCCTGTGCATCCTTTCTCCTCCTCATTATCTTCATTCTTATCCTCATCCTCCTCTTCTATCCCCTCTTCATCCCTCTCCTCTACCTCCCCCTACCACTTCCTCCTCCTCCTCCTCCTCTTCCTATCCCCACCACTTCCTCCTCATCCTCTTCCTCCTCCTCCGCCTCTTACTCCTCCGCCTCCTCCTCCTTCTCCTCCTCCTCCTCCGCCTCTTACTCTTCCGTCTCCCCTCCTTCTCTTCCTCCTTCTCCTCCTCCTCCTTCTCCTCCTCCTTGTCCTTCTCACCCCATGCTCCTTCTTCGATTCTGTTTTTGTTGTCCTTCATAATTAATATCAGAAGCTGAACGCTAAGCTGCCCGATGAATCACCCTAACCCAGGCTTATGCTAAATCGATCCAACAGCCCTTGTTGTTGTTGTTGTTGTTGTTGATAATGATAATGATGTTGTTATTGTTATTGTTATTGTCATAGTTGTTGTTGTTGATGATGATGATTTTGTTGTTGTTATTGTTGTTGTTGTTGTCGTTGTTATTCTTGTTGTTGTTGTTCGGTATTCGCTGAACTTTTCGTGACACGAGTTGGAAATATGGGCCCAGTAGAGCCTACAAAATTGTGTTAAGTGGCTCCCAACAGACAACCGCGATTTTTTCTCACGTCTTTATTAGTCTAGACGTTGCGCAACCCCCTTTTTACCCCTCCCTATTGTACTAGGGAAAATGCATTTTTGAGGACATCTAAAAAAACACGAAATGTTTCGGTTAAACCGCACGAGACAAAAAAACGCTTCCGCGAAATTGGTGGATTCCATCTCCCCCTGCGCGGTTCGTGTTCGTGGGTTTACACACGAGGCAGCAGTAAAACTGCGGAGGGAAGGAAGGTATTTGGGGGATGCTGCTGCTGTTGCTGCTGATGATGATGGTGGTGGCATTACTCAGCTATTCGAGCGATGCGTGTGGGAGGTGCGTAAATAAATACCGCGCAAACGCTCTCTCTCTCTCGCGCGCGCTCTCTCTCTGTATAACGCA